GCCTTCACATACACCCACACCCACACAAACACACACAGAAAAACATGCACTCACACATAATACAAACAGTAGAATAAAATATAATAAATTCTGGACAAATAAAGACATGAATATATTAAGACATTAGAAGGAAAATTTTGAAACTATTTGTGTGATCTTTGTAATCACAACCTTTGTAACTAAGAAAAATATGCAGAAACTGTAAAAGTGAAAACTGACATATGCAACTAGGTTAGAAAAGTTTCGATTTTCTATATGGCAAAAGATGGCAAAATTGAGCCAAATGAGAAAATATTTGCAACGCATACTAAAGTAGCCATGAAAATGAGATCAAATGAAAGCAGATGACTTTCTCCTTCCTCAGATTAACAAAAATGTCCAAGACTGCTAATATCCCATGCCTCAAGAATGGGGAAAATCACATCCTTATGCAGTACTCCTGGGGTAAGAATGACCACAATTGTTTCTGGCAAATAATCCAGTAATATCTAACAAAATTCTACATCAGAACACCCTTTGACTACTAACAACACCACTCCAGGGCATTACTCTCAGAAACAAGCAGTGGCACCTCAGAGAAGCAGCACTGATCACAGAGCGTAGAACTGGTCACCAGAATGCTCCCAACAGCAGAGAGGCTGAGTAGACTGCAGTCATCACACGGCCACTGGAAGAATGGGTTAAAATAGTCACCAACTACAGCCGGGACTAGCCACCATACATTGCATTTTCAAAAGAGCCACAAGAGTAATGCGAGTGGCAGAATCCCACTTTTACATTTTTTAAAAGAAAAGAAACATTTCACATATATAAAGTCCAATGTATTTTGTGACTCTAGAGGAAAGCATGGAACAGAAAAGGAAATGTTAGCCACTGACCAGCAGAGAAGTGATGTAGAAAGAAGTGTATGTTTTATACATTTATTGGTTTTTAGCTATGGCAACAATTGTATATTGCTTTAGGAATTTTTTTGTTTGATTTCGTTTGGTTTGATTTTAATCCAGTGGAGTTGCTTTTAAAGCAAACTCACATGACCACGTCTTACCAACACACAGAACTGGTGATGTGGGTGATTTGCAGTGTACTTCACTGATGTTCTAGGCAGTATTAAAATTTGAAAGATAACAATGAAGCTGTTCTATTAAACAGAAACTACTCAAGACCCCCACCCAGCTCTGCTGGTCCTCCAAACTGTCAGTCACCCCTCAAATGTGCCAGAGGTTCATCCATGAGGGAGCTGAACCATCTCCTAACTTGCTGGACAGTATGGCCTGGGATGGGAAACGATATGAAGGTCCTCAGAATCAAACTAGCTGTGTAGCTCTGTTCATCATCCACCTCTGGCCACACTTGCCTCCAGCTTTGTCAAGTTCCCCTGCTACACTTTAGATCTGCAATGGCCCCTGAAGTCAGTGAGGTAAGGACTTGGTTCCCAGTAAGGCATCATTGGAAGGAGGTAGAGCCCAGTGGAGGTCCCAAGAGACCTGGAAGAAAACAGTGGATCTTACCCCTTCCTCTTCCTCCTTTGCTTTCTGGTGTAAAGTAAGTAGGCTCCCACCATGACATGCCAATTTGTCACAGATCTAAAAGCAATGGGCCAAGGGACTGAAATATCCAAATCTGTGAATCAAAATAAACCTTTATATACATACACACACACACAAACACATATATACACAGAAATACATACATAAACACAAACACACATACACACAAACAATACACACAAACACGTATATACACACACACAAACACATATATACACAGAAACACATACATTAACACAAACACACATACACACAAACAATACACATACAAACACACATATATACACACACAAACACATATATACACAGAAACACATACATTAACACAAACACACATACACACAAACAATACACACACAAACACATATATACACACATTCACACAGACACACACACACAAATTTTCTCAACTTCCCCTCAAATTTCCTTTGGTGTCTCCTAAAAATCAGAATGTATGAGCTCTTTGCAAACAGACTCTTTACCAGCAGGCTCTCTTCCCTCCTCTTCAGAATAGGCAGTTAAGTCTAATCATTAGGTAGGCATTTGGTGTTACTAAAGTGAGAGCCACTAAGTTCAAAGTCACTTCTGAGCTCAGTGACCTTCGGGAAATGACTTAATTCTTCTTTACTTTACTTCAGCGTGCTCAGCACAAATTGCCAGGACTTCTTGAGGCAGAGGCCTGGAAGAGAGACTGGCTCAACTGTGCTGCATTCCCAGGCTAAAACAAGTGAGGCGCCTCATGGAAATTCAAAGGGACTGCCCAAGGCCCTGAGCACCAGAAGGCACAATTCACCAGGGAACCAGTGAAATGGGCTATGGCCCTGTAAAAGCAAGTTCCAGATCTGGTACTAAGTAAGTGCTCAATAAAGTAGAAACTGTTTTTCTTAGTATTCCTTTTGCTTAAATAGAAGAGCTATTGTGACACACCACATACAAACCACAGAGGACCAAGAAAACCGAGGCAGCTCTAAAGCAGCATGCTGGTCTTCTTTCAGAAAATTCAAAGAAAGCAGAGCCCAGCCTGAAGGCCCACAGTGTGGATTTCTGCCAAAGCCAGCCACCCTAGTCATCTATCTTAAACAAAGAAGACCCTTACAAGATGGTTTCACCGGTTTCGAGTCGTGGAGGGCAAGCACATATAGTCATTTCTCTGTATCCATGGGAGACTGTTCTCAGGACTCCCCAGCCTCCATGGATGGATGCTCTAGTCCCTTATACATCATACTATCTGCATATAACCTACACACACCCTCCTGTGTGTTTTTAGATCCTCTCTAGGTTGCCTGTGATATGTAATATAAATGCTATGCAAATAGTTGCTACATTGTACTGTTTGAGTAATAATGACAGGGAAAATCTGTACATGTTCAGCAGAGACATGGGGCTTTTCTGAATTATTTCCAATATGTGGTTGGTTGAACCCATGGCTCCAGAAACTGCTAATACCCAGGGCAGAACGTATAAGGAAGGCAAATAACCCATGTTATCCACTCACAACCACACTAACATGCAAACCTGTTCCAGATGGAACTACCCTCTCAACACAGGGCAGAGAGAACATATGAAAGACGCTATTCGCCATAATGAAAGAATTTAAAGGCTGGAGGTGTAACTCGGTGTTAGAACATTGCCTAGCCCATGTAAGATCCCGGGTTCAATCCCCAGGACAGAAAAAAAAAATTTTAAAGGCACTCATAGCTGATGAAGTCTAACGATTGAAAAGGAGCCAGTGAGAAAATCGACAGAGGTAAGACATGTAAGCACTTTGTGGTTGTTCAATGCTGTTCTCTAGGGCCCAGAGAAATGTGTGCGCATAACGTAACTTTTTGGAATGACTCAGAATTGTGGGAACTAGAACTAATAGCTTAGAGCTGTTGAAGAGAAGAACCTGTGAAACACAAACTGCATCACTGTTTTACATCTTTAACTCTGGAAACTGCAATGTAACGAATGTGCATTTTCTCACACAAATGATCTTCTACTGCGTCCAATTAATTTTTTTTTAAGGTTTATTATAAAAAGGCAGTTCTCTTTGTAAACCCTTGGGAATAGTGCTAAGGCTCAGAGGAGGCGGGGAGGCTGGGGAAGAGCCAGGAAATGGAGCTAATTCACCAGTCTGCCACCTGTAGGCTGGTTCCAGCAGACTGAAACCTCAGTACCCACTAGACAGCCATGAAAACAATGCATACTAAATAATGCTAAAAATTGAGCAACAGATGTGTGGAGACTAAATATAGGGGTGTATTTGGACCATGGCTCCCACGTGGCTGCCTCCTACTCCCTCTCATCAATTTGAACACTGAAAGCTGTGACCATACATTCTGTCATTCCCATTTAGTTCTGCAGGGTGTGACCCCCTAATCTGAAATAAGCTTTGAAAATTAATATCCCTATTAGAATGAACAACCACACCTATATGGATCCCTGTTTCAGAGGCAGTTTTTCTAGGATCTCATTTTAAACCAGGCAAGGAACAAAGGTCATTACAAACTAAATAAATAAATAAAGGCAAAGCTGGGCCGCTTTTTTTTAATTGCAAAAGTCAAGAACAAATAGCTAACATTAATTACAAAGGCTTGGTTTGGATGTGTGTAGGTGGAATTCAAACAGTGTGCACTGTAAGCCTATAATATATTTCTGCGCCAGAGACCAAATGTAGTTACAGATGCCAAGAGTTCTCCGAACAAGTGCCTGTCTTTATAAATATCCGCCCTGCATATAGCTTTCCTATTCCCATATGTCCATTCTTTATTAATATAGAAAAGGCAACTTTAGTCAAAATTCTACAAAATGCCAAAAATTAAGCTGGGCAATGGCTTGATTAATACAGGTTTCCTGGTGTCCTCCTCCGAAGATGCTACTCGCTCATAGACTTCCCTGATTTGGGGGTCAAGAACCTGAAAATCGGTCTGGAGTTGAGGACGCACGCCCTTAGATGCCGGCTACTGGCCCCCTACCCAGTCCAGCAGGGTAGTTCAGGGAGGATGTGGAAAACAAGAAGTCCCCAATGCCAGGCGTGAGTGGTCGAAGGGGTCCAGTCGGTCCCAGGCGTCAGACTGACCCGCAACCTAACGCGAAGAGCGGCGCGCACCTGGCGAGGGCCCTAGGAGGGGAGTCGCGGGCTGGGGCGCTGCGCGGGGCTCAGGCCCACCTCCCCGCCTGGTGCGCGGCAGCCGGCTCAGTAGGTCCCCTGCGCACGGGGCTGCAGACGGCAGCCCCGAGGTCCGCGCCCGGTCACTGCCTACCGAGTGGCAAGGGGTGGGAGCCCGGCTTGTTTGCGCTAAGAAAGTAAGTGTGAGCATCAGCGCGTTGAGGGGCAGCGCGCCGCGGTCCCCAGAGTTCCCCTTGCGGAGTTAGGAACCGCACCCCGAGAGGCTGCGGCGTCCCGGCCACTGCAGCCCCGCGTCTCCGGACCTCGCCCGCAACCCCGCGCCACCGGCCGCACACACTCACCGAGAAGCCGGCCCAGAAGGGGCAGGAGTGGCGGACGCGGGCCGAGGTGGTGAGCGCCAGCGCCGCGAAGCTCACGGCCACGATGAGGCATCCGAGCGCCATCTGCGTGGCCCCGAGCGCCAGCACGATGCGGGAGCGGCCTGGGCACTCGCGCAGGCGGGACAGGCTGCGGGGCAGCGCGGCGGGACGCGGCGTACGGGGGCCGCCGGCCGGAGGCATCGCGCCCAGCGCCCTGTC